GTTTTTAGTTTCAGTGGGACTTTAATGTTACTATACTTATTAGCTACTTAATGTTACTATTGTTCATAGTTTAAAACATTAACTCAGAAATGCTGTAGAAGTAGGCTATTGTTATTGATATTTCAAATTAGCAATTGCATAATGTTAACCAATTGAACCCTGTTATAAAGTGTTATTGAAATCTATAACGCCTGCGAAGTTATTTACAGTCTTTCACTGGTAAAAAGAGACAAAGCAAAAAATTGCATTTCGGTTTAATAGTTTTGCTTTAAATGTGTTAAAACATTCCTTTGTAGGCTATGGAGATTACATCACTCTTGTGTGATGATATTAAAAGTATAATGTGATTTCCAAGCTATGTATTTTGTGGATAAATATAAAAAGATATGGGAATGTTATTATACCTTGAAACACAAGTAAATCATTGCTATACTACATCACCTCCCAGTCTCCCCTAAACAGACCTATAAACAAAGTAACAAATTATACAGCAAACAATTTATTTGAGCCTATATCTGCTTTTTTCTTTATAAACTGCTTTATAATGAGATGTGTGATGTGAAGCTGTAACCACAGAGGTTTGTGTTGTGTGTGCAGGACAGATGTGTTCCCCAGCAGTCGCCACCCCGCCGCGCTCACACTGCCTCCAGCTCCGGAGCGCCTTATAACTGCGTTATTACCACCGCTGCATGCGCTGCGGGGACAGACCGAACCGGGTGGTCACGTCCACAGGGAACCCCAACGCTGTTTCTGGTATAATTACACAGGCGTTGAGATCAGGTCTTCAGTAGCGTTAAATCAGACAGATCGCGCTGTAATCCTGGATGTGATAGCTCATCTGTCAACCTGTGCAGAAGCGAACTATCCCCTCAGTCGTGATTTCTGCTTTGGGTAAGTGACACAATCTCGCTACAGTGGATGAAGAGGCCTTGAATATAACGACGCATCGCTGCCAAACGAATCCAAAGAGGAAAGAGCTATAAAACAGCATTATTAACGCACATTATTCGCCTTTGCGCCGCGGATTTTGTTGGCGTTTCCATGGACACATCAAGTTGATGCGCAGGTACGCGGTTACACAATGTACTGTGTTTTGATGCGTGCGGTAGTATGCAGCCGATATGTTAAAATAGATGTGTTTTATGATTCAGCAGTTTTAATGCCTTGATACATCTTGTGATTGACTTTCATTTGCGTATCTCTTTTTCTAGGTGTAATAACGGTGCATTAGCTGGCCTGACTCAGAGGTTTAGAAATAGCCTACATATGCGCTGATGATGGCTTATGTTAATGCAGCATGCTGATTCTCTGCAGATCATGATGTGTGAATATGATGAAGGGAATTCCCTGCGTTATCCGATAGCGCTGCATGCGATGCGTGTCGTGAGAAAAGCCGTCACGGCTCTGTGGAATTTGTGTGCGCGCTGGGCTTTACCTGCAGATGGGAAAAAAACCCTTCATGTGAGGAATCTGCTGGATCGCACCTAGTGGCTAGAGAGAAGATCGAACTCATATGACATAATACACGCTTCTGCTGAGTAATAAAAATATATGACAAATTATTCATTAATAACGGTGCATTAGCTGGCCTGACTCAGAGGTTTAGAAATAGCCTACATATGCGCTGATGATGGCTTATGTTAATGCAGCATGCTGATTCTCTGCAGATCATGATGTGTGAATATGATGAAGGGAATTCCCTGCGTTATCCGATAGCGCTGCATGCGATGCGTGTCGTGAGAAAAGCCGTCACGGCTCTGTGGAATTTGTGTGCGCGCTGGGCTTTACCTGCAGATGGGAAAAAAACCTTCATGTGAGGAATCTGCTGGATCGCACCTAGTGGCTAGAGAGAAGATCGAACTCATATGACATAATACACGCTTCTGCTGAGTAATAAAAATATATGACAAATTATTCATTTTTTTTATTTTTGATTGTAATGTTTAGTTTTTTTTTTGCGACAGCATAGACCAGGGTTCCTCAAATCTTGCCCTGGAGGTGCAATGCGCTGCAGAGTTTAGCTCCAACCCTGATCAAACTCACCGACCTGTGATTTTCTAATGATCCTGAAGACATTGAGTAGCTTGCTCAGGTGTGTTTGATTAGAGTTAGAGCTAAACTCTGCAGGAAAGTGGATCTCGTGGGCCAGATTTGAGGATCCCTGGCATAGACCGACGTTTAAATAAGTGCTCCAATAAATACATATTATTATAAAAAAATATCAAGAGGCTGATAAAATGAAATTGGGTGGGAGATTAAGCTGTGTCTTTGTATGCGTTCATTTTCATACAAGTAAACAATATAGGCTACGCTGGAAAGTGGATCTCGTGGGCCAGATTTGAGGATCCCTGGCATAGACCGACGTTTAAATAAGTGCTCCAATAAATACATATTATTATAAAAAAATATCAAGAGGCTAATAAATCATTTAGGTAGCCTATAGTTATATTACAAGTTAGTTAGTGTCTTCCATTCCAAATAAACCCTAACAAACTTAAGTCGCAACCATATGCAACAGTACGCTGATCTCGATTTTTCTTTTGCAATTAAAAAAAAGCACAATGAGTTTTATTATTTTCTTTTTTATTATTGTTATGAACTTACCACAAGATTGCAATATCGTAATAAGTGCCATATAGCTTACGGTGTGGTTGCTGCTTATGTAAGATTAAGTAATTAAGTCTATTAATACAAATGCCTATAGAAATCCCTTTAAAAAGTCAGCTCCCTGAAAGTCACTGCATAATTTGCATGCTGATTTTGATATCCTTATTACTGATGCTGCAGTACTCCCCCAGTTATTCTATATTCATAATGCTGCATCACATTTTCATTTAGCAGAGAGATGGGTGAGATGTGAGGGAAAGCAGGAGGTGGCAGAATGAATGTTTGATTACATTATCCATTATTCGGGGCATATGAGAGAGACCCCTGTAGTTCTTTGCCTTTTCTAGAATTATCCCCTGCAACAGTTGCAAGAAACCGCTAAGGTTATCAAAACCCTTACAAATTATACGCTTATAATGTTTGTGAAGAAAATATTTATCAATCATTCAAAAGTAAATTGGTACATCCATGTTGAGCCGAAAGTAGCAGACTTGAGTTTGTTAATGGATGACACCTTAAAAGCTGACAAGATGTGTCAAACGGTTAGTAGTGTGTAGTTCCATGCTTATGCCATGTGTCTGCTGTTCTGAATGTGTTTGGTCTATAGAGAGTGGAACAGTAACGCTCCTGTGCCATTCTCTGTGCCAGCTTCCTAAGGTGCCCGTTATGTCTAGAAGCAAAGACTGCAGTAACCTCCACTAGTGCACAGAGGGGTTCCTGTAGCGATAGCAAACACTGCATTTATGCATAGGTGAACAGACCTCATTTACTATTTAATGGGCTGTAAGATCAGGTGCCATC